CTGGCTTAAGTAACTGCAAGGTAATTGCCAGTCACTCAGCTAAAAGACACCAATACAAGGCTATAAGACAACCACATACAAATAGGTACCAGTTATCTACCTAGTAAGAATGTAAAAAGTTGCTCCAATCATTAAATAGAAGTTCCTATGAATTATAAACAAATATTGCAAAATTTAATTAACTTGGAATTTGTGATCACAAACAGGAATGACTATACAAATAGTATAGCCATTAAACCAAAAAATCTGAGTATATTATCCAGGGAAGGAGTATTTGCCTAATCTCTTGTACTTTTCCATTTATTTATTGAAACCAAGAGTGTTCTAAATTAAGTGCTTAAGAAACTCTTTCCTTATGTTAAGTTCAAAATTTTTTAGTAGTTGGTTGAACATAAGACCTCTACTATTAAACAAAATCTGACACTTACTGTCCTCCTCTCTCTACAAGTGTCTGGCAGAGGTATTTTCTTGCATTTCTGTGAGTTGGACAGTTTTCTAATGCAAGCTCAAAATCTTCTATTGCTTTGTTCAAACTTCCTTTTGTCGCATATCTAGAGACATGAAACAAAATTAGAGGGCAGTATCTCACAAGCTCTTCATAAATCTTGTTTGTATTTACCTTGCAAACATTCCTTAAAATCCAAGTATGATTCACTTACAGTGCTCCACGAGCTACCAAAGCTTCCACGTTTTGTTTGTCTATTTCCAAAGCTTTATTGTATTCATTCATAGCATCCACATGGCGTCCAACTTTAAAATAATCAACTCCAATCTTCACACTAAGACAGACATTTGTAAAGCATCACAAACACTTCAAACACTATCTAAATAAAATGTTGGCGTGACTAAGTTTTAAAAGCAAATGTCATCAAACTTGGCAAATATTTATTTTTCAGAATACTCACAATATACCTAAGGAGCATTCTTCTGCCTTTGGACATTTTCACAACAAATATTGGTGAAACCCAGATATCAATATACTAATTCCTTTTGAGAAAACAGAAATGCTGAATAAAACTTATCTGTTAAGTGTAAAACCTGTTAAGTGTAAAATGTAAGACTACTTACATCTATAAAAGAAAAGCTCATGTCAAAAAGGCATCACTTTAATTCATCTCAAATTTGTCTGATGACATAAGCATGCTTGCCTTACCCTAAGCTTTTAGACTAGATATAATGCAATTGTTGAAAGACAGTCTTCATACCATTTTAAAGCCCAAGACGCAGATTGTTTTTTTCTCAATGCAGAAGCAAAATCATCTTCAGAGAAATTTTTGCTATTAAAGAAAATAAAAATGAAAAAGTTAAACCACAAATACTTTTTAAGTAACTATACTTAATTCTGCTTGACAGGCACTCAACACTGAAAGTATGAATCCCAAGCAAGAAATTTGCATTCTATTTACATACCAAAATCTTTGAACTTTCGAAATTATTATTGTTAAACAGTATTTTTCTTGGCTGGGTGCAGTGGCTCATGCCTATAATCCCAGCACTTTGGGAGGCCGAGGCGGGCAGATCATGAGGTCAGGAGATTGAGACCACCCTGGCTAATACGGTGAAACCCTGTCTCTACTAAAAATAAAAAAAATTAGCCAGGCATGGTGGTGGGCACCTGTAGTCCCAGCTACTCAGGAGGCTGAGGCAGGAGAATGGCGTGAACCCGGGAGGCAGAGCTTACAGTGAGCCAAGATTGCACCACTGCACTCCAGCCTTGGTGACAGAGCGAGACTCTGTCTCACAAAACAAAAAAAAACAGTATTTTTCTTTAGCATACACACAAAATTCTTATAAAAAGTTTCTACATCCTTCTCTACTTGTTTACATGGTATACATCTTAATCACCGATAAGACAGTCCAGTCCAGAAGATGGGATCACCTGGTTCATTCAACCTTTGGCATATGCCTGCTACTAGGTGGCTTAGGATGGTCAAATATGTCCTTCAGCTATGTAGCTTCTGAGCTTACCACCACTCCCCTCACCACCTAAGAGAATAATACTGATTTACTATACCTTTGTAGGCCTCTCATTAAAGATGGTGGATTAGATTCATCTATTCCTAGTTTTTCTAGAAGGAATTCAACTACTCCTGGATTAACAAATCCTAAGGAACTCTGCATGATATTTTCATAGGACTCCAAAGAATTGCTATTTAGTTCAACACTTCTCCTTAAAAAAAGAAAATACAAACACAAAAATTGTAAAATGACTAATCTGACACTCCATTTCAGACAAATAGTAAAGAATAAAGAAATAGTATCATTTGAGGTTTAAATACTAATACCATTTTTTGCATAAGATGGTGTGGCAATATTATGATATGGTTACCTTTTCCCAAGTCTGAAGTAGTTTAACTGTTATAAAAATAACATGAACACATTTTGCAATAAGAGAAATTAAAATTCCCCTTTGTTGTCAAAAGTTTGACAAAATTTGGTATTCCTCAATGCAAGAGACTTTCGTAATGAACTGTTGTTGAAATAATATAAATTACCTGTAGTACAAAGGAAGCTCTTCAGAGCTAATTACACCTAATTTAATACCAGATAGGTGTGGTGGAAGAGAAGAGCTATACAGAGATACTGCCAGCTTTTCATGGTATCTGTCAATATCCTTGATTCCAGCTTAAGAAAAAAAAAGAGAACTAAGCTGATTAGTAAGAAAACGTAAACTAACATAAAAAATACAAACTTTCCCAAACACTACCCACTTAGACTGTATTTTTTAAAATTAATAAAAACAAAAATTCAACAATCATTACTTTTTTATTAGTATGATGAAACTAATCACCTCGGATGATGTCACCAGTTTGGTAATATGATAAAGGATCCCCATGGTTACTGTGAGATGGCACATCTCTTAAGGGACAAAGAGCCTGTAATGAAAAGTATTTTAAAACACTAGACACTTCAAGCTTTGGTAAGAACAGTGTCTTCTTTTATCTTCGCTACTTGGTATGAAACAGCTAGTAGTTGAACAACCTAATGTAAAAATTTAAATAACGATTTAGTTAAAAGTAATTTTTCTGTCCAAACACAGTAAAATATGTTTGCTGGTTCAGTTAAAAAACTAAAATCTCATGAAACTTTCCATTAGTTTAGGAACCAAATATGATGGCTTATGACAGTATACTACACGCATCAAAAGCAAACTAAAATTTGTCTAAAAGGTATAAGGATTCCAGTGAAAATGAAACGTGAATTCTCCAAAGTTTTTGTCTGTTATCCAGTCTGTAATACCTTCTGCTTTTCTTCCTTTTTATCCGCCTGGATAGATGGCAAATACCCAATCTTTTATCATGACACATTAGTTCAAATTCAGGACTATCCATCTTGGGCAAAGTATTATTGTAAATATATAAATGACAGAAATTTCTAAATTATCCACATGAAAATATACAATGCCAAATATTAACTAATTAAGAATACATATGTTCAACTACAAGAAATAAGTCTGAATACCAATCAACCTCACTATGTCCACTGATACCTCTTTGAGCACTTAAAAAAGGACACTGTGCCTGCCAACCAGAGTTTAAATTTAAAAAATCCCCAAAACCAGAAATGGAGGGACAAACTGGGTGAGTAACTTTCACTAATTTTTGTTAACGATTTTTCTCCAATTAACATTTAATTTCCAAAAGTATCTTGGCAAGTATACTTGAGCACAACTGCATGCAAAGATATAATTCTTGCAATGAGGTGAATTAACAAAAACAGAAGCAATCCAAATAACAAAAATAACTTACTGTGATTTCTAAGTGGGCTATATCTCTCATGATACCACTTCCTAAACAGATCAACACCATGAAAAAACCGAATTCCCGAATAGAACTAATTCTTCCAATCACTATATCACCACGCTCAATATCTCGGAAAAACAGCTCTCTTCGATCCATACTAGGTATCTCCATGAATTGCTCTAAAGGTGGCATGACTGCATAATGATCTAAAAAACAAAAAATTAACAAAATCACTAACGATAGTTTTGAGTTCCGTTTCACCTGAAGTACTGTTAAACCGAACGGCAATCTTAAAGGTTTTAAGGCTAAACTCACCTTCACTATCTTCATTAATTTCAGAAGTTGCAGGTGCATCTGATTTCCAGGAAAGTGCAAAAAGCAGATCTGCTTTTTTGGAGATGAATTTCTGTATCTCGATGTTGTCAACTCTCTTCTCCTTTCTTAAAAAGAAAAAAAAAAATACGAAAATTGGTTTATCCGCAAAGCCTTTTTACAAACTCTAACGTTCTGCTTACGGCTTTCATCGGCCATTCCTCTCCATCCCAAGCTCCAGATCATACAACCTCAGAGAAAAAGTTTTAACTAGGCATTCCCTCATTAACCAACCTGGAGGTGGAGAGCGGGGAAACTTAAAAAATGACGCCTCCAACCCAGATACGAAAGTTTAACGGATTTTAGCTAAGAAATCTGCCCCTCTAGCAAGCAGCGCCATAGAAAAAGTTCAGCCCGCAAACCGCATTGCACACCTCAAGAGCGCCCTCCCTCCACCCAGCCCAAGGCACCAGCGCGCGATCCTCCTGTGCTCACGGCCGCGGCTCCACTTCCTCTAGACGCAGACTCGGGGCTGCGGTAGTGGCTTCCAGAGCTGCGTCCCCTCTCCCGTGACGCAGTGGCACCAACGTCGCATTACCTGCCCTGCAACGGTTGCTGGGGCGGCGGGCCCCGGGTTGGCTCGGCGGCCGATCCCAGGAGGCTCCGGAAGTGTGGATTATCCTGCTGTTCGCTCCGGAGTAGAGAGAGCAAAGAAGACCCATGGCAATTTAGCGACTGCCGCAGAAGGTCCCGGTCCATGGCTAGAGACTGCAGGGCCCGGAGGCTGACGGGCTGATGGTCCCCGGTTCCGTGTCCGCTACTTGAGCCGGGTGGTACGTGAAGCAGAAGAAACCGTCTAGAGGCTGCCGGAAGTACACAGAGAGCACAACCAGTTACACCCGGAAGTGTTCTGGGGCCGCCCCCACGGCGCGGAGCTCAGCCTCGGTCTCGCGAAACCGAGCGAGACTACGGAAGGCCGAAGGATTGGGCTCAGCATTGCTTGGGCTAAAGTCTGAATAGGGCTTCCAGGAAGTGATGTATGTGAGAAGTTTGATTTTTCAAATGTACGTGGAGTCGCTATCGCGTCGAAATAGCTCAAGAGCTAATCTAGGATAAACAATAATTCCTTTTCGTATTCATCAAGGTGCTTCTAAGTGCCAATGCCAGGGTAAGAACCCCAAACGAGTCGCACAAGCTTCTTCCCTCGAAGTACTCTGCGTAAATCAATACCTATGTCTCTGACGTAACCGCATGCAGCCGGCTGCTCCGGGAACGTTTCCAGGTCTTTTAACGTGCAGAAGGAAGGAAGGACACGGACATTTGTTAAGCACTTGGAGTGGTATTCTCCAACCATACCCCATGTACTGTTAGTGATTGTGAGTTCTAAAACCAGGATGGCTTTAATGTCTCGACATGTGCATATGCCATTCAAGTGTTACAGTAACTATAATGTATACATTCATTTCTTATTTAGTTTATCTCAATGGTTGCTCAAAATTTAGTGTCTGTAGGACTTACTGTATAGTGATGTGTACGCAAAAGTCAATATACTGTACTTAGGGACAATTGAAGTGATTTTCAAAGGGAATTTCAACTTAGGTCCTCCATCCCCTTACTTATTGACTTGAGAACCCAACCACTACGGTAGCTATTGTACTTTTTCATTTTAGAAGACGAGGAAACATGCTCAGAGAGTCTCAGTAAATTGCTCAATGTCACACAGATAGGAAGAGGCTAGAGTTAGGGTTCCAAATGAAGTATTAATTGATCTTGTCAGGCAGAGTTGCTGGATTGAGTACTTTATCATATAGAAGGCCTCAACCCTAATTTTGAGATCATGTAGCTTCATTTTATTCCAGTATAAAATTTGTACCATTTAAGTATGTGCAGTGCAGATAGTTCAGTATAGTCCTCTTGAGCAGAAATAAACGGTGGCAGTTAGTCTCCTCGCTTCCCACCATGTGTCTTTGAGGAAATCAACTTGCCCTTCACTGTGTTACCACTTTTGTATAGGAAATCTAGTCCAGAACATAATCGATAGTGACACACTGTTTTGTGGAAAACCTAGGCAAATAGGTAAACAGTTTATTGAAATTTGAGAAAATGCAACAAACAAGAATGCAACTGTAGAAGATAAATTTGGGCTGGGCGCGGTGGCTCACACCTGTAATCCCAGCACTTTGGGAGGCTGAGGGCAGATCACTTGAGGTCAGGAGTTCAGAGACCAACCTGGCCACCCTGGCGAAACCCCATCTCTACTAAAAATACAACAATTAGCCGGACTTGCTGGCTCATGCTTGTAGTCCCAGCTACTTGGGAGGCGGAGGCACGAGAATCGCTTGAACCCGGTGGTCAGAGGTTGTAATGAACTGAGATCGTACCACTGCAGTCCAGCCTGGGTGCCGGAGGGAGACTCCATCTCAAAAAAAAAAAAAAAAAAAATAATAATAATAAATTTCAAGCTTCTATAGGCATATCAACTTAATAAATGGTACAGACTGGTTTTAAGCCATAACTCTAGAGAATGGTTGTTTTTAGGAAAGAGTGCTGTCACTGAAAAGGAAAGCTGACGACTAAAAATGATTATAGACAGCTTGGTAAATACGTGATTTGTGTTAGAGTCGATCTGTGATCAAGGACCTTATTTTTTGGAGGGACTAAGAAACCAGTGTCTGAGAACCAGATGCCAAACAGTGTTACTTAGCCTGGGAATGTCACCTTCTGAGGCCATTCTTTAGTAGCACATGGTTTTATCACTATGGGATCTGTCTATACTTCTTCCTAATTCCAACACTAGGATAACCCTCCCCCACCTCATATCTTGAACACCTAAAATGGCCATGAACATAGAAAGCAGCTCCTTTTAGGGGGTACGCAGCATTTATCTGGAGTGATATTTTTTGTATAATAGTGACAGAAGAAATGAACTTTAAGCAAATGTACTCAAAATTCAGGGTGGGATTTTCTGTCTTTGGTTAGTTCCTTATGTGAAAGTAGCCCCATTAGTTGGGTGCCAAAGGCAGTCTTATTCTTTACTTCCGGAATATCACTCCCATTGCAGAGGATAAAGCCTTTTACAGTTACAGGTGTATTTGAATTCATTTTCTTTTGAGACAGACACCCCTTTGACTTAGAAGGGGACAGAGCACTGGATCTTTGACATAGGACTGGAGGGGGTGAGGAAAGGAAATGGGACTAGCTTTGCTTCTCATTTTAGAAAAACCAGTCCCACATATGGGCCTTCTCAAGTGGGTGACGAAGAAAATACTGTTTTTCTTTTTTACTTCTTGCCTTACCTTAAAAAATATCTTTTTCGAGAAATGTTTCCAGATTAAGCAATATGAATAACTAAATGAATATGTTGAGGAGAGGGACAGGGGAAAGTGTGGGATGGGGTTGGGGGAAGAAGACAGGACATTTAAAGCAGTCAGATCTTTGATGTCTGGTTCCTTTGCCTATTTTTATTGTAAGTGTTAAATTCCATTTCTAAATAAACACATAGGTACATTCTTTAATAAACACTCTAGACCCTAGAGATAGAAAGGTGAAGAAAACAATTCTGGTTCTTGAGTGGTTCACAGTCCAACACAGGATTAGACAGAAGAAGAAACACATAATGGCACAGTGGTAAGTGCTATTGTGGACACCTACTAGGGTGTCTGCATAGATCCCTCTTTTCTGTGAAATGAGGTAGTGGGAGTAGCTGGGGGTAAGAGGAGAGAGGGGGAGGCAACTATGTGCAGTCCAGGCACAGAGGGCAATATAATTAAAGAAGTAGAGGTGTGAAGAAGCAAGATGCATTCTGGAGACAGCAAGTGTGAAATGGAGGTAGGTAGGGATATTTTAATTATAGACATTTGGTTATGTAAGTGTGTCATTTCAGGTAGGCTATAGATTGGTGGGAAGAAACCCCTGGTGCCTCTCTGTGCGTACAACACACACACACACACCCCCACACACAGAGTAAATTCCTGATTTCTTTAGCAAAGAACACAGAAACTTAGGGGAAGCAAGGTAGCCACGTAAAGAAGTGGGAGAAGCAGCATATCTCATTTTAGCTTTTCTTGGATCTCCCAAGTTTCCACAAATAACTTGTGCAGCTAGTGACATCATCTGCAAAAGATAAAGTCTTTTTTTTTTTTTTTTTTTTTTACATCTCAGAAACTTTTATAACCAATTGTTAAGGATATACAAATAATCCATGACTTCATGAGAAATATCTGTAGATAGATTGTTTCTGGTTCTTGATCCTGATGCCAGCAGTTTCAACAAGGCCTCACCTTTAGCTGGGGTTAAGGTTGGAGTGTGTGTCTGTCAGGGATGGTGGGTACCAAATAAGGTCCTAGAAGTCTATTATGATACTTCTAACTTTAATTTTTCAGTATCTTTTAAAGGCTGTCTTCTTTTTAGAAAAAAAATGGACTTTATTTTTTAGAGCAATTTTGGGTTAAAAGCAAAAGTGAGGAGAAAGTAAAAAGTTTCCCATGTATCCCCTGCCCCCACACATGCATAGCCTCCCTCATTATCAACATCCCCCACCTGAGTGGTACATTTGTTAAACTGATGAACCTACACTGACACCTCTTTATCATCCAAAGTCCATAGTTTATCTTAGGTTTCGTTCTTGATGTCATACATTCTGTGGGTTTGGGCAAATGTGTAATGACATATATACCATTATGATGTATTATAAAGTGGTTTCACCACCCTAAAAATCCCCTGTGCTCTGTTTTTCTTTTTCTTCTTGGAACCCCTGACAACCACTGATTTTTTTTTACTGTGTCCGTATTTTTGCCTTTTCCAGAATGTTATATGTTTGAGATCATATAGTATATAGCCTTTTCAGACTGGTTTCTTAGTAATATGCATTTCAGTTTCCTCCATGTCTTTTCATGGCTTGATAGCTCATTTGTCTTTAGTGCTGAATAGTATTCAATTTGCTGGATTTATAAAACAATTTATCCATTGTCCTATTGAAGGACATACTGGTTTCTTCCAAGTTTTGGCAATTATGAACAAAGCTGCTATAAACATACATGTGCATGTTGTTGGTGAACATAAGTTTTCAACTCTTTTGCATAAATAGCAAGGAGTACAGTTTCTGGGTTGTGTGGTAAGAGTATGTTCAGTTTTGTGAGAAAGCACCAAACTGTCTTCCAAAGTGGCTGTACTGTTTTATATTCCCATCAGCAATTAATAAGAGTTCCTGTTGCTTCACATCATCACTGGTGTTTGATGTCAGGATGCTGAAATTTGGCCATTCTAATAGATGTGTAGTGGTATCTCATTGTTATTTCCATTTGCATTCCCCTGATGGTATATGATGTGGAACATCTTTTTATATGCTTATTTGCCATCTGTATATCTTCTTTGGTGTGGTGTCTGTTAAGGTCTTTGGCCCATTTTTTAATTGGGTTGTATGTTTTCTTATTGTTGAGTTTTAAGAGATTTTGTGTGTGTGTGTGTGTGTGTATATATATATTTGAAAATATTTTCTCTTGGCCTGTGAATTGTCTTTATATTCTCCCAATGGTATCTTTTGCAGACTAGAAAGTTTTAATTTTAGTGAAATCCAGCTTATCAGTTTTTTTTTCTTTTATGGATCATGACTTTGGTATTGTATCTAAAAAGTCATCACCAAATCCAAAGTCATCTAGATTTTCTTCTATGTTATCTTCTAAGAGTTTTACAGTTTTGCATTTTACATTTAGATGTATAATCCATTTTGATTTAATTTTGTGAAGGATGTAAGACCTGTGTATAGATTCATTTTTTGCATATGGATATCCAGTTGTTCCAGCACTACTGGCTGAAAAGAGTATCTCTTTTCTCCATTGTAGTGCCTTTTTACTTTTGTTAAAGATCAGTTGACGGTACTTATGTATTTTGTAGGTCTATTTCTGGGCTCTTTATTCCGTTCCATTGATCTATTTATCTATTCTTTTGCCAATACCATACTGTCTTAAGTACTATAGCTTTATAGTAAGTCTTGAAGTCAAGTGGTGCCAGTTCTCCAACTTTGTTCTTCTCCAATTACTCTCTTTATTTTCCTGAAAATAGTCCCTTTTTGTTGCTTAAGCAAGATAAGGAAATTTGTAGTTTGGAACCAAGGATGTTGACTAATACACTAAGAAACGACCAACTAGTAGCCTTTGCTTTTTCTACTCT